ATATATAACTTTTATACTCAAATGGCCAAAAATCTGACAAAAAACTGTAAATCCTTGTGAAGAATTTAGGCGGGATAGTTACTGGGTGCAAGGCACTGGTAAACTGAGGCGCGATCGCCATGCCACCATGCACTAGTCGGCCTGTACGCCTATCAACACCCTCATTTTCCGAGGCAACGCTCGTATTCCGATGTAAATTTTCCAAGCAAATCCTGCTCGTATTCCGAAAAACTTGTATACAGGGACACTCGTATTCAAGGTACCACTGTATAGAAAAGAGACTTGTATATTCTTAGAGGCACACATTCCTCTACAGGATTCTATTGTGAACAATTTGATACCGAACTGAACGGCATAGCACGGAAATTGAGGTCAGAAAGCTTAAAAAAGGATAAACATTTGTGGGTGGTGGCGCATTCACGCATACAGCTCGGCTGACCTTGAGGTGTGCGGCGGGTCACCCACCAGGGCAGTAAAAGTGTTTAGTAAATATTTCTTAATCTCTAACTGGTTAGGAAACATCCAGCTTTTAACTACGTTTAGAAAGTCATTCCACAATTTGGGACCCTTGATTTGCATAACATTTATGTTTTGGTTGACTCTAGGAACATCAGAGATGTTTGTTCCTTGTGGAGTGATCACGAGTTCACATACAGCCTTCTAGGAAATGCTTAAGGTCAGGATTAGCATTGCAGTTCAGTTTTGTAAATCTAGAGAACACATGAGAGTATGTGCAGAGACTTGATAATTTAACATATTCAAAGATTTCAATAAGGAAACAGTGGTGTCTGGAACTGGAATATGCTATTGTTCCAATTGCTGATTTTTACTGAGTAATTAGGGATCAGGGGTAATTAAGGGTGGTAGATCTCCAGGCATAGATACCATAGGCAAGATATGGATAAATAAGTGAATAATATAGAGCAACTAGGGCAGGGCGAGGAACATAGTATCTGACTTTCGAGAGAATGCCTATTGTTTTAGAAACTTTCTTAGTTATATTTTATATATGGCAATGGAAATTTACTTTGATAATGGATAAAACAACAGTTAAAACCAAGAGAGCAAAGCTTCACTGAATGGAAATAAATCTGACTGTAGAGATGTGGTGAACAGGGTACCCCCAAGGTTCCATTTTGGGATAAAACCATTTCATCATTAACACCCTTTATCATATTTATCATTTATGATACATATAATCTATAAAATGATTTAAAAAAAAAATTTATCCATGACAGATGAGAATGTATTTCAAACTGTATCAAATTTGTAGACACTAAAGATTTATGGTAAAGTAGGAAGTTAAAACGATACTGATGGCTTACAAGAGGAGCTCTCTATCATTTTACATAAACTCCACAAAGGGTCAGAAGACTGGTAAATGCTTTTCAATATTTAAAAATGAAAGTCCTTGCATGTAAGCCATACCAATGGACAAGTATTGAATCAACAACATTACCTTGCAGCAGATTGATGAAGGAAAGGACACTAAAGTCTGAATCCACCCATCACTAAAAGTTGCACAACAAGTGGGAGCTGCAGTAAAAAAATGGTCAAACCCTAGGAATCGTCAAACCTACAACTTCAAGGATACAGTGGTTATTCAACTGTATTAATCTCTGGTGTGCCCTACTTAAGATTACTGTATCCAAACATGGAGACCTCATCTTCAGAAAGACATATGCAAAGTCATGTAGGAATAATAGGGAATGAAATTGCAGACAAAGCTGTAAAACTTGCAACTAAGTGAAAAAATGTAAACCATTTACATACCACAGTCCATCACAGATTAAGAAAGTAATTAGAAATAGACCAATGCAGAACATGGAGAATGGCCACATCACAGCAGTTGCAACATTAGGATTGGTGGGGTTGGTACGTGTACAAGAATTCAACCAACTACGAACCAGTTATTTTGATGAAAAGGAGCAGTAGAACAGCAGTACACTAATCTTGCATCAGAATTGAATATCCATGTGCATGGGAAATAGGCTTACAGGTTCCAGAAGGCGAGAGGAAATGTCAGCACTGTGGAGAAATGCCCAACAGACCACCGGAACATTATCTAACACAGTGCAGTTACAAACCAAGTAAGATTTAGCCAAATATCCCCGTTTGCTAACTGTAGGTAGTAACCGAGCGATTGTAATCTATCCACCGTTGCCCACTGGATGGGTGGCGGTGTGCAGGATAAACATATAAATTGTGACACTACCTCTCCACATATGTCAGTTGCTTAAATTAGAAATTGTACTTGTGGTTGGTCTCGAACCCATTGTTGATATGATGATGTGCATTGATTTTTGTAACTAGCTCATCAAGATTTAACTTGTTTAGCTAAATGAACTGTGGGGATTGTCCCTAAGCCCATTATGTGCCTCACTTTCCACTACCGCCCACGTGACGGGTTTGGGGGTGCATAATAAATTAACTAAACTTCCTTCTGAATTATAACCGAGCAGTTTTTTTTTTTTTTTTTTTTTTTTTTTTTTTTTTTTGAGATATATACAAGTTGTTACATTTTTGTACAGCCACTAGTACACATAGCGTTTCGGGCAGGTCCCTGGAATACGACCCCCACGAAGAATGGTTTTTACAACCAAGTACCATTTTACTGTTGAGTTAGAGGCTATAGTTAAGGATTTGCGCCCAGTAAATCCTCCCCGGCCAGGATACGAACCCATGACAAAGCGCTCACGGAACGCCAGGTGTCTGTCTTACCACTACACTACGGAGACTGGTATTTGTTAATTTATTTGTTAAACATATTAGGCATAATCTTACTGAAGCGAACATTCGAATCAAATACTGTACCTGTACTCATACTCTGCCTAAGTAAAACATGAAACAAGTAACATTTAGTGGGCCAGCCAGACTTAGGACCTGCACAGAAGCCCTAGGCTCCTGCTTGGGACTTCCTAAAGAAGAACAAGAAGAAAAAAACAAGAACAAGAAGAAAAAAAACAAGAACAAGAACAAGAAAAAGAAAAAAAAGGAGAAAATTCAACACCGGGCACAAAAATTATTCCATAACCAAGTCTAGTTTGATAATAGGAACAGTTGAGGGGCTCAGAGCAAACAACTCTGCAAACTAGGCATGACAGGGCAGATCTCTTTTAAAAGTTAAAATACTGAACTTGAAGGATACTGATCCCAAGGATACTGATATTTTAAAAGATAGGATTAACAGAGCAATGGTTTAAAGCTCAACAAACCACAATGTAGGACTGAAAACAGATGTTTTTTGTCACCAATATGGTTATAAACACACGGAACAGCCATGGAACAAATAACGTTTGAGCAGTTTAAGCCAAAACACTTCTGAAATTCAGAATCCAGCTCTATAAAATCCAGATAAATGGGAGGACCTTAGACAAGCTGCCGGCTTCCTGTACTCATCGAGGCCATTAGTGAGATATAAATTTCTCAGATAAATTTTAGTGTTAAGAAAGGTGTAAAATTGTTTGAAAGTCTTGGCACCTAAGTACTGCTAGCCAAGACAATCAGATGTCACCCATTCGTGTGGAAATTTTACCAGTATATTACTGTATTATGGACTGAGAAAATCAACTGGAGCTCTTAGATGACTGGAACCCACAACCAGCAGACCGCCAGCAGCCGCAATCCTTACCTGGAGCAAGTCAGGGTGGTTCAGTGGTAGAGGGTTGTAGCTGACAGTCTGCGGACAGTCGTGGGTTCCAGTAACCTAAGAGCTCCAGTTGATTTTATCATTGATATACATCACACTAGTGTGATTTCTGTGTAAATTATGAACATTATAAATTTTAATTATAGTCTGCTAACCTAGCCTAACAGAAGGGCGAGTTAGGCTAGCCCTAACAGAAGGGCGAGTTAGGCTAGCCCTAACAGAAGGGCGAGTTAGGCTAGCCCTAACAGAAGGGCGAGTTAGGCTAGCCCTAACAGAAGGGCGAGTTAGGCTAGCCCTAACAGAAGAGCGAGTTAGGCTAGCCCTAACAGAAGGGCGAGTTAGGCTAGCCCTAACAGAAGGGCGAGTTAGGCTAGCCCTAACAGAAGGGCGAGTTAGGCTAGCTAGCTAACTCGAACAGATTTTGCACCAGGCTGTTCCGCTCAGGAAACTAGAATCAGGCGTATCTAAGACTGACACGGCAGCCGCCACTGCCAGTGGTGCCCTTGCACGGCAGCCTCCACTGCCAGTGGTGTCCTGACACGGCAGCCGCCACTGCCAGTGGTGCCCTTGCACGGCAGCCGCCACTGCCATTGGTGTCCTGACACGGCAGCCGCCACTGCCAGTGGTGTCCTGACACGGCAGCCGCCACTGCCATTGGTGTCCTGACACGGCAGCCGCCACTGCCATTGGTGTCTTGGCACGGCAGCCGCCACTGCCATTGGTGTCCTGACACGGCAGCCGCCACTGCCATTGGTGTCCTGACACGGCAGCCGCCACTGCCAGTGGTGTCTTGGCACGGCAGCCGCCACTGCCATTGGTGTCCTGACACGGCAGCCGCCACTGCCAGTGGTGTCCTGGCACGGCAGCCGCCACTGCCAGTGGTGTCCTGGCACGGCAGCCGCCACTGCCAGTGGTGCCCTGACACGGCAGCCGCCACTGCCAGTGGTGCCCTGGCACGGCAGCCGCCACTGCCAGTGGTGTCCTGGCACGGCAGCCGCCACTGCCAGTGGTGCCCTGGCACGGCAGCCGCCACTGCCAGTGGTGTCCTGGCACGGCAGCCGCCACTGCCAGTGGTGTCCTGGCACGGCAGCCGCCACTGCCAGTGGTGTCCTGGCACGGCAGCCGCCACTGCCAGGGGTGTCCTGGCACGGCAGCCGCCACTGCCAGTGGTGTCCTGGCACGGCAGCCGCCACTGCCAGTGGTGTCCTGGCACGGCAGCCGCCACTGCCAGTGGTGTCCTGGCACGGCAGCCGCCACTGCCAGTGGTGCCCTGGCACAGCAGCCGCCACTGCCAGTGGTGCCCTTGCACAGCAGCCGCCACTGTCAGCGTTAACAAGGTAAGTCAGGTTACCTGGAGACGTGGAGAGAAGCGCCACGTCGCCCACAGGTGACAGTTACCGACGACCTCCGGGCGGACGTCGCCCTCACTCAGTGTGCTCGCTGACGGGCTCCACACTGGTGCTCACACTGTTTATTTATTTTTATTTATTTATTTTCTGCAGTTGAAAGAAAACCTGCTCAGATTGGGGGACTTGTTTATTGTATAATAGTAAATAATAAATTAATAATACATAATAAATTAATAATAATACATAATAAATTAATAATAATACATAATAAATTAATAATAATAAATTAATATTATAATAAATAATATAATGATAATAACAAATAGTATAATGATAAGCAATTGTTTTTAATGTATCAAATAGCTAATTAGGGTAAATGATAAATAATTAGTAACTAATGCATGACAATAAAGTGATAGATAATAATTATAATGAATAATCATTATAATGATAAACTAGCTCATCAAGATTGTAACTTGCTTAGCTAAATGAATTGTGGGGTTCAGTCCCTGAGCCCATTATGTGCCTCTGTAACCCTTTCCACTACCGCCCACAAGATGGGTATGGGGTGCATAATAAATGAACTAAACTAACTGATAAAGTATTAAATCAATTACAATTATTAGTTACATCTATAGTTAGTAATTGAAAGTTGCATTATTGAATTTACACTAATTACAATTCATGGTAATATTTCTTAGCTATCTGCAGGCTTATCACTTTGAGGGTTCCGCCGGAGCACCCCCATCCCGCGAGGGCCATGGGGGTGCGAGGGCCATATACTTGGCCCGCGAGGGCCAAGTATATGAGTGGGATTGGGTGATTATAAATAGGAGCTGCCTCGTATGGGCCAATAGGCCTTCTGCAGTTGCCTTTGTTCTTATGTAATAACCCCAGCCCTCGATAAATGCACCCCATCACGAGCATACATTTCATTTCTTCCATAGAAGTGTTCCCAGTTGTCTATGAAAGATATTGCATTTGATTTGCAATATCTTTCCAGCCGGCAATTGACACCAAGTGCCCTCGACATCTATTCATTTCCTACTCCCTTTCTTTGAAGAATGCCACATATGATCGGGATTCCTCCCTTGCTCCTAACTAATTCAATGGCTGTCCTAAATCTCTGTATTAGTTCCTCATTCCTATCTCGCCTAACATCATTAGCCCCTGCACTAATACAAATAATGGGTTTATTCCCATTTCCCGTCATAATATCATTCATGTTTTCAACAATATCACCAATTCCAGCTCCCGGATAGCAAACCCTTAATCTGTTCCCCCTATCTCTGGCACAAAACGTTCTGTCTAAATACCTCACCTGGGAATCTCCCACAACCAAAATTCGCTTCGGTACCGTCTTAACTTTCTGTTTATTAATATTTAAGAATATTTAAGAATATTCTAAACAAAGCACAGGAACATAGTATACCATACAAATTGAATAGATCGAATACTAATGACCCAAAGTGGATAACAAAGAATTTGAAGAAACTTATAGGTAAAAAGAGAGCTTGGTACAAAAGGATTAAAAATGGGGAGGTCACTTTAGAACAGGAATTCGTACAACTGGTTAGAAATGTTAAAAAAGAGATAAGGAAAGCAAAAAGAAACTATGAAGCTCGCATAGCAGGGCAAGCAAAGACAAATCCTAAAGGGTTTTTTCAGTTACATCGTACTAAGACTAGGGAAAGGATAGGTCCATTAAAAACTGAGACAGGTCAAATAACAGATAGTGAAGAAGAGATGAGTAGTATTTTTAATAAATATTTTGTATCTGTATTTACTAAAGAGGAACTTAACAATATGCCTTCAGCCGAACAAGTCTATGTGGGTGGGGACGAGGACAGGTTGACGAGTTTAACAGTTACCAGGGAGGATGTTCTTAAACAAATAGTAAAACTCAAACCAAACAAATCCCCAGGGCCGGATGAAGTGTTTGCCAGGGTGCTTAAAGAATGCAAAGAGGAGCTTTGTGACCCACTGTCAACCATATTTAATAAATCAATAGAGTCAGGCAGAGTGCCAGAGTTTTGGAATGTTGCTAATGTGATACCAGTTTTTAAGAAAGGAGATAGATCACTTGCGTCAAACTATCGACCAATTAGCCTAACGTCTATTGTGGGAAAGTTACTCGAATCTATAATAGTAAATAAAATTCGTCTTCATCTTGAAAAACATAAATTAATAATTGATTCGCAACATGGTTTTATAAATGGCCGTTCATGTTTAACAAATTTGTTATCTTTTTATTCTAGCATAGTTGAGGCAGTTGATAGTGGTAAGGATTGTGATGTTGTGTACCTTGACTTTAGCAAAGCTTTTGATACAGTGCCACATGAAAGACTGATTAAAAAGATAGAGTCTCAATGTATTGGGGGTGCTATATTAAGCTGGATTAGGGCATGGCTATACCAAAGGAAACAGAGAGTTAGTATAAATGGAATCAAATCAGAGTGGGAAAATGTTGTAAGTGGAGTGCCTCAAGGCTCTGTTCTGGGACCTCTGTTGTTTATAATATATATAAATGATTTAGATTCAAGTTTGAGTAGCAACATTTGCAAATTTGCGGATGATACGAAAATCGGTAGGGAAATTAATTCGGAGGAGGACTCACTATCACTTCAAGTTGAACTAGATAGGGTTTTGAAATGGTCAAAGGATTGGCAGATGCAGTTTAATGCTGATAAATGTAAAGTTCTGAGGTTAGGTAATGATGATAGAGTTACAAGATACGAGCTAGATGGTGTTGAGATTGCGAAAGAGATCTGGGAGTTATGATTAGTAAGAATTTAAAACAAAAGGATCAATGCATAAATGTTCGTAATAAGGCAAATCGGACACTTAGATTTATTAACGCAGCGTTAGTAACAAGACACCTGGTGTGGTTCTCAAGCTATATCTTGCTATAGTTAGGCCCCATTTAGATTATGCAGTTCAGTTTTGGTCGCCATATTATAGAATGGATATAAATTCACTTGAACGTGTCCAGCGAAGGATGACTAAGTTAATTCCCCAAATTAGAAATCTTTCATATGAAGAAAGATTAACAAAGCTTAAGTTGCATTCACTGGAAAGGCGAAGAGTTAGGGGTGACATGATAGAGGTTTACAAGTGGGTGAATGGACATAACAAAGGGAATATTAATAGGGTATTAAAAGTATCAACACAAGACAGAACACGAAACAATGGGTATAAATTGGATAAGTTTAGATTTAGGAAAGACTTGGGTAAATACTGGTTCAGTAACAGGGTTGTTGATTTGTGGAACCAATTACCATGTAACGTGCTGGAGGTGGAGTCCCTCGATTGTTTCAAGCGCCGGTTGGACAAGTATATGAGTGGGATTTGGTGGTTATAAATAGGAGCTGCCTCGTATGGGCCAAAAGGCCTTGTGCAGTTGCCTTTGTTCTTACGTTCTTAAATACTGGTTCAGTAACAGGGTTGTTGATTTGTATAACCAATTGCCGCGTAACATTGTGGAGGTGGGGTCCCTCAATTGTTTCAAGGGCGGGTTGGACATGTATATGAGTGGGATTGGGTGGTTATAAATAGGAGCTGCCTCGTATGGGCCAATAAGAACATAAGAACATAAGAACAAAGGTAACTGTAGAAGGCCTATTGGCCCATACGAGGCAGCTCCTATTCTATAACCACCCAATCCCACTCATATACTTGTCCAACCCGCGCTTGAAACAATCGAGGGACCCCACCTCCACCACGTTACGCGGCAATTGGTTCCACAAATCTACAACCCTGTTACTGAACCAGTATTTACCCAAGTCTTTCCTAAATCTAAACTTATCCAATTTATACCCATTGTTTCGTGTTCTGTCCTGTGTTGATACTTTTAATACCCTATTAATATCCCCCTTGTTATGTCCATTCACCCACTTGTAAACCTCTATCATGTCGCCCCTAACTCTTCGCCTTTCCAGTGAATGCAACTTAAGCTTTGTTAATCTTTCTTCATATGAAAGATTTCTAATTTGGGGAATTAACTTAGTCATCCTACGCTGGACACGTTCAAGTGAATTTATATCCATTCTATAATATGGCGACCAAAACTGAACTGCATAATCTAAATGGGGCCTAACTAGAGCAAGATATAGCTTGAGAACCACACCAGGTGTCTTGTTACTTACGCTGCGATTAATAAATCCAAGTGTCCGATTTGCCTTATTACGAACATTTATGCATTGATCCTTTTGTTTTAAATTCTTACTAATCATAACTCCCAGATCCCTTTCGCAATCCGACTTCGCAATCACAACACCATCTAGCTCGTATCTTGTAACTCTATCATCATTACCTAACCTCAGAACTTTACATTTATCAGCATTAAACTGCATCTGCCAATCCTTTGACCATTTCAAAACCCTATCTAGATCAACTTGAAGTGATAGTGAGTCCTCCTCCGAATTAATTTCCCTACCGATTTTCGTATCATCGGCAAATTTGCAAATGTTGCTACTCAAACCTGAATCTAAATCATTTATATATATTATAAACAACAGAGGTCCCAGGACAGAGCCTTGAGGCACTCCGCTTACAACATTTTCCCACTCTGACTTGATTCCATTTATACTAACTCTCTGTTTCCTTTGGTATAGCCATGCCCTAATCCAGCTTAATATAGCACCCCCAATACCATGAGACTCTATCTTTTTAATCAGTCTTTCATGTGGCACTGTATCAAAAGCTTTGCTAAAGTCAAGGTATACAACATCGCAATCCTTACCACTATCAACTGCCTCAACAATGCTAGAATAAAAAGATAACAAATTTGTTAAACATGAACGGCCATTTATAAAACCATGTTGAGACTCAATTATTAATTTATGTTTTTCAGGTTGAGACTCAATTATTAATTTATGTTTTTTTTTTTTCAATAGGCCTTCTGCAGTTGCCTTTGTTCTTATGTTTTTATTTCTTAAACTTCTACTGTTAGTGTAATATACCCTAAGTGAATTGTTATTTTGAGGCCCTTCTCTTTCCCTGATCATTTTGCCAATTCCTTTCTCCCACAAACACATACTTTTATTACCTCCTTCCATCAAATCAATTCCCATACCTCTATCTACTAACAGTTTAATATAGAATGGATATAAATTCACTTGAACGTGTCCAGCGTAGGATGACTAAGTTAAT